ATTTTGATTGAAACATTATGTCATATTAATATTGACGATTTAGTTTTAAGCACTCTATGATATACAAAACAATACTACACAAATCTAATCATGTGAATCATGTGATATAACAAATTCAAAATGTTCAGTGCTAGGGTGCAAGCTGAGTTTCAACTTAATATGAGGAAAATAATACTACTAGGATCTAAATTCCTTTTAATAATAAAATAAATTTCTAATAAAAAATAAAAAAGACACTAGAGTTTGTACTTAACATGTGGAAAAATTGCAACAACTCTGTTCAAATACATTCATAAAGTCACATAAAGAGATACAACAAGAGTTTATATATTTTACGATTAGGTTTCTACTAAATACATATCACGCAAAAAAATACTATAAATTCAAACTAGAGGTCCCTAATGGAGCCTCCATGTTAATCCTCACAAGACTCGATTGGAAAACAATAGATATATCCTAGAGAATTTCACAGAAACAGAAACATTTGACTATTAATTTGGCATAATAACTTGATCATCATTGATAATAATAGTATTGGATCTATTCTATTTTTAAATAATTACCCACGTCTGCTATTGTGTAAAACAACATAAACTAAGGAATGACTCTAGGTTTAGATTACCCACCTATGCCATTAAAAATATGACCTAAAGTAGAACTAAATTTGCATCTAATTACCCATGTCCTCCTATTACAATAGATAGATTACATAACCTAATTTTCATCTCATTATTAGAAAAATTAAATACGCCCTCAACCCTAAATCTAAATTCTCAACATCTTCTTACAAAAAATGTTTAAATAACCATAGAGCATATATATATATTTCTACATTACCCACTTCTATCGGTATTAATATATTAAGATTTGATAAAAGTAACCATACACGTCATGCTAGCTGAAATGTCATATTATGTTTCTACATTACCCACTATGTCATACTATTTATATAGGTTGTTACTTTAGATATAGTTATACATTTTAACTAAAATGTTTGACACACGTATATTGAAGTATAGTTATAACTGCACCTATGATTCCTTGATAGAAAATTTTGATCACCTTGAGGAGTATGAGAGACAACTGATGGCTATATTTTCCAAGCCGTTGAAGATGACTTTGGCGTAAAAAGTCGATCATTATAAGGCTTAAGTGTTAAAATTCTATTGAGGTAGCATAACTACTGTAACACCCCGGCTCAGGGCTTAACAAGATTAATAGGATACTCATACCAATAAGTTGCAACTTCTTTTCTGGAAGCTCATCTCTTAAGAACTCCAAGGTTAAGCGTGCTTGGCTTGGAGCGATGGGTGACCGACCGGGAAGTTCTTCCCGGGTGCGCACGAGTGAGGACAAAGTGCGCAGAAAAGACCTGTGTTGGTCTGTGAGGGCAGTCTATATCCTAGAGAAGCTGTCAGATGTAAGCGGGCCCGGCCTCGGAGAGGCGGGACGTTACAACTACCCCCATCCGAGATAACACTTCAAGCTTTATCACTTATGTTAAGTGATATGGTGCAGGTTTCAAATGATTGATTTTGGTATTTTTTTTGACCAAAGATTGATTGTGGTATTGTAGTATTTAAGACTATACTCTATGACCTAAAATCCTTATTTTAAAAAGAGAAAAAAGGGAGTTAATAAAAGATATAATAAGCACAAGAGTTTTAACTTAACTTGAGGATAAAAAGAATCCATAGGAATCAATAAGAACAAAATTTGAAAATTTAAAATGTAGATTCATAACTTCGTAAGGTATATGATGCAACAAGAGCCACCATAATTAATGGTAAGGTTTCAAATTAACAGCATATTTAAACAATACAAAGCTGACATGCAAAGTACAATCTGAATATGAATGAAAAAAATGTATAGATCTGATCTTGCAAAAAAATAGTAATAAGTTATGATAACTAGATATAGACTATGAATATCTATTATGTCTATTATATTAAAAACAAGCAAAGAGAAAAACATACAATTTAATATAAGTAACTTTGATTAGTCATACAATAATTAAATTTGTACCAAGCAATAGAAAATAAAATTTGAAAAATTAAAATTTAGATTCATCACTTCGTAAGGTATATCATGCAATAAGAGCCACTATAGTTAATGGCAAGGTTTAATTGCATATTTAAACAATACAAAGGTGCCATGCACAGAAAAATTATGAATATGAATGAAAAAAAATGTATAGATGAGCTACTTTCAAAAAAAATTATTAATAAGTTTATGATAACTAGATATAGCCATGCCTATTATGTTGAAAACAAAGAGAAAAAAGTATAATTTGATATAATTAATTCTTTATTTGTCATATGTATTAAATAATAATTAATACATATATCTGCTAAAATACTAGCCTGTACGATAGTACGCGTTGATGAACTAGTTTAACCTAATAATGATTCCATAAAACTCAGAGAAACAAACAAATTTCAAGCAACACGCATAAGTTTAACATTTTTGTTAAAATATCGTGTCTCTAGCTATATTATGCACCTCTACATGAATATTTCATGAGCCGTTGGCTGCTGAATTGGAGCCTGACTGGATTCATGATGAGTAAGTTACACGAACGCATACCCCTCTGTCCATTCTCTTGCAACCACAAGCAATGCATGACCGAGTTGCTAACCTTCCTTGTTCATACATAACCAACAACGCATACATATCCATATATGTGGATACATTTGAAGATCAATAGCTCCATGTCACACTTAACCGACCTGCACACTAGTACACTCCAGATATCTTGTCTAGATCTGTACACACCTCGCCCAACAAAGGCCATACATCACTCCTGATGATGGAGGCGTACATTGTTCAAACAATCAACAACGAATTTGGTCTTCGTTCCTTTATTTCACAAGTCCTTAGATAAGTTATTTGACCCAGGCCACAGGGTTAGCAAATCCTGAAGTCAAAAGCTGCTGATCTAATGGAGATAGATCACATGATGGTACAACACATGTGGTTGTTGGGCAGACAGAAGGGCTTGTCGCAAGCTTAGCTAGGTTCCAAACAAATGCTGACAAAGAGAGAATAATGGCCAATCAGCTCTAGGCGAGTCAAAATTTATAGCAGTGCTCTCCATGAATATTAGCACTGACAGCCCTTTGCCTTTTATGAGCGATGACCACATAAATCATTGGAGCATTCTTCTTCTTGATCGTTGACCATATTAGATCCTACTCCCTTCGTCCCAAAATAAGTGACGTTTTTACTTTCAGACATCTTGTTTGATCGTTCTTCTTATTCAAAATTTTTGTATAAATATTATCTATTTTGTTATGACTTATTTTATCATTAGAGATACTTTAACAATAATTTATTTATTTTATTATTACACAATTTTTTTTTGAATAAGACGAGCAGGTTAAACAAGATTTGAAGTCATAAACGTTGCTTATTTTGGGACTGCAGGGAGTACATCTCTACCAAAAGTGGACTTGTACCTCCAATTCATAGTCTTAAAATAACCTTGAGATGACGATTGAGACTACATCGTAATAATTCTAGCTATTTGTATATAATTTAACCATGTAAAAAGCAAGCCATGTCGGTCTTTTGTATTACTGGAGCCATTCTGCTTCATTATTGCATTGTCAAAACATGTTACAGATGAGTCCTTTTCTACCGAATAATCTTAACTACACGTGCCTAGTTGACGTATGAGAGAATGAGGGAGGAATATCAATGTTTTGTGTTATCCTATTCGCATAATGGTTTCATGCATTTGAGCTACGGAATCTTGGTATTGCTAATTGGAAGATCTTATTCTCAAAAAAAAAAAAATGGAAGATCTTAAATTCTCCATGTTAATTGTCACAGAGATGCATCACTAGAAAAACAAATCCTAGAAAGTACAACATAAGTACCTACAACTGATTAAGTGTACTATATATTATGCCGTCAACACAATAATAGCCATTATAATTATTTTGTTTTTAAAAATTATCGATGGATGACATTATGAAAATACTCTAAAGTAACCCTCTAAATCTATATATAAACTTCCAACACAACTGCAATTATGAAAAGACATTAAGAAACCCCATAATCTTCACCTTATTAATCATCTGTCATTACAAAAAATAATGTAAAATGACCTCCTAAATCTATATCTAACTTAGTTATCATAGTCATTATTAAAAATAACATTATATGTATAACCACCACCTATGGTATTATTATAGTGCTCTAAGTTTGTGTGTCATTAATTCCTATAGAAAGGTCATCACTTCTGGCTGAAACCCCCAATTGCTGCCGGTTTTCGCCTTCGGCGGTGAATTACCAGCGGTGGTGGCTATGGTTATCACCACTAGTTCAAAGTATGGTCTCATAGACAGATAGACTGGATAAGTCTAAGTGGGTCTTATATTTTGGTACGGAGGAAGTAATAGAAATGGGAAAGTATACTAAGTAATTGGTGTTGCGATATTATTGTATTACAATATGCACAAATTAGAGAGCAAAGATAAACATTATCTTTGTTGTAGCCCCTAAATCTATCCAAAAATTTCTGACACTTATTTGTTTCAAAATTACTAGCATGACAAGAGCATGGGTTGTTGATGAACTAGTATAAACCAGAAGTTATTTGAAAATATTAACTTTGTGGTTTTTTATATTTTGTTGTGAGTTCATTAACTTTGTTATATTATGTCGGTTATACTAAAAAAGAAGAAATCTTGATTAGGCAGCACAACAAAACAATCCTAATTAAAGGGTCAAACAAGGGAGTGAAGCAAAGGTACAATTAAACAACCATCGACCACAGCTAGTGGGAATGGGAACTCGACAAGGACAGCACAACGTAAATATCTGACACATTTTGTTTCACCACGTAAGTATGTTATTCTCGCTGCTTTTTTCGGTTCGTCGTGGTCCGCACAATCTAGACCTAGCTAGTGTTTGACCTATCATCAACAAATACATTTCTCAATCTTGCCACCCAAGAGGGCAAGGGTAAAAAATTACATCCCACCCTTAATTTCTTATATGCACTTGTTCCATTTCTCTACGAAGCAGCTGAGTCGTCGTAGTGCAACATCGAGCGTCTCCAAGCTCATGTTGGCGAAGCACACCCTGAACCACCCTGGCTCCGAGCAATGGCACGAAGATCCCGGCGAGATGTTGAGCATGGCCTCGGCGATCACCCGCCGCCACAGCCTCAGCTCCCCGGCAACCGTAGACTCATCGAGCAGCGGCCGCATGTCCACCCACACGAACAACCCGGCGTTGCTACGCAGGCACGCAACGCCAGCGCGCGCGAGCCCGGCTACGACGTGGTCGTGCCGCTCCCGGAGGCGGGCGCGGTTGGCGTGGACGTACGCCGCGGCGAAGCCCGCGTCCGACAGACAGCGTGCGCTGCGTCTGCGACGAGACCAGCGTGAAGCTCGACATGCGGCGGGCCGTGGCCACCACGGCGTCATTGTACGAGTACACCACGCCGACGCGGAACCCCGGGAGCCCGAGGTCCTTGGAGAGGCTGTACACGACGTGCACGCGCGCCGCGACGCTGCGGTGGCCGCCGCCGTCGTCGCCGCCGCGGCACGCGCGGTCCTCCACGACCTCGGCGACGCTGACCAGGTCCGGCGCGGCGAAGACGGAGCCGGAGTAGATCTCGTAGGAGACGAGGTGGATGTCGTTGCGCGCCACGAAGTCGACGATGTCCTCCAGGACGGCCCTCTCCACCGTCGTGCCGAGTGGGTTGGACGGGTTTGTCAGAATGACGCCGCGGACGCGGATCCCAGCCGCCATGGCCTCGTCATACGCGGCCTGGAGCGCACTGGCGGTGACCTGGAACCCGGTGACGCTGCTGCAGTGCACGGGCACGATGTTCACGCCCGTTCTCCACCGCAAGTCCCTGTCAAACCTGCATGTAATGCAACAGAAAAATGGCAATTGGCAAGAAAAGGCATGACACTTGATTAAGTAGCATGTCTCCACGATAGAAACTTGAGATAATCTGCCATGGGCTAGCTATGGGCAATGGAACAGTACGTGTTTACCCAGGGTAGTATGGAGTGGGGACGAGGAGACTGTCACCAGGGTTGGCAAGAATGAATGTCAGCAGCTCGTTGGCAGCCGTGGCGCCGGCGGTGAGCACGATGCGGTCCGGGTCAAACCTCGCCTTGCCTCCCCCTATCGTCTCCATGAACCTCGCCATTGCCTTCAGGTCGTGAGTCATAGCAAACATCACACGGTGGTCAGCTCAGCCGTCTGTAACTTTAAGAACGAAAGCACACGATTTGTTTGGTTTCAAGACTTGCATATCTTTACCATCCGGAAGGATTTGAGCCCATGGTAGTCCTGGAACAGGGCGTTCTCTCGGAACCCGACGCCGCAGTGAGATGCCGCGGGGTGTTCCCTGAGGTACGCTTCCAGGAGATCAAGGGACACCTGCCCCACCAGGACTATTCAATCAGCTTCATGATAGAATCGAATGAACATGCAGCGTTCTGATAGTTTGAACATTGTCAGCTAGCTAGTAAGCCTACCTGGTTCTCGGCAAGGCCCATCTGGATGACACCGGAGGGTTGGTGACGGGGTCGTAGGGATTCTTATCGTAGGCTCTCCACCCGGAAAAGTAGGGTGAATCCTCTCCATGTGCCGTCGAGGTTGCAATATACGACAGCGAGGGCTGGAGCAAAGAAGAAGCAAGAACCCTGCCACCCATCACGGGCTAGCGCTGAGTCTGTGATCAGGCAGGGGCAGAGATAGGCTAGAGAAAGGTTTAGAAAGGGCGAGCGCTCGCTCTCTCCAAGAAAGTTGAAGGCTTGGAATGCCAATTGGACAGCGCACGGCAGGCAATACAGGCTCGCGTTGATTGGTATATATACAGATATATATGCGTATATAATATATGCTATATCTGTGTGAAAATGTCAAATTAAGGCACAGTTCCACCTAGACTTTTGGGTGTCAATGATTGGCGATCTCCCAATATTCTTTTGTGTTCAGGGTCATAGAGACGAGTGGGATCTTACATATGCGTAGTCCCTCCTCAAATGTACTCCCATGGTACCAAAATTAATCAACTTATATAGTGTCTTAAGTCAAACTTTTCTAAGTTTCACCAACTTATTTGTGGAGAATAGGTATTTTGTTACTAGAGAGTTGCGAGTGGAGCAGTTAGTGTGATGGTGTTAACGTGGTGCGTGTTGAGGTCTAGTCCAATTGGCTCTTGTGAATGTTTGAAGTAGATGCTTATACTTATTAGTTAATTAGCTTGTTGTTTTCGGTCATCGTCATTGTATAGGATCCTCTTATGTTTTGTTGCTCCATTGTATTGCCTAGTCCTGCATGTTTCTCTTCTTTTAATATAATTGGCAACTTTTCTGTCTGATTCACACAAAAAAAAAAACATCTTTGCTACCAAATAAGTAGAGAGGTAGAGAAGGATTCCTCCTTGAATGCGTGTGCTCGAGTTGGGTGGAAGGAGGAAGGAGCATAGGGTTTTATACTATAGCTAGGAGACTATCGGGTCAATCAACAAACTGGCGGTGATCTCGTTATACCTTTGCCGGTTCAAACCGTGACCTAGCATTAGAATATCAGTGTCAGGTGGTGTTATCAACCAACAGTGATAACCCGACTATAATTTCCAGTTATTGTCCCTGGTGATCCATCAAGCCGGCTGTGAGAAGGGTCTTCACTGCCAGGTGAATAGAATCGTCCCCAATCATTGTCTGGATTCTAGGCTTACGATCTAGCAGTGATGATCTTACAAGGATTTCTTGTGTCTGTAGCAGTGGATGATCACTTGTGCTAACTTTACAATGTGCAATATGAACTTGAGTGGATGCATAAACATGTGGTGCACAAATTAGGATTATATTGGTGGTGTCTATCACTACCGGAAACTGGGTGTTTGCCGAGTGCAAGAATGTTTGCCGAGTGCATTATATCGGGCACTCGGCAAAGAAGATCTTTGCCAAGTGCTTTAAAAAACACTCGGTAAAATAATTGCACTCGGCAAAAAAGACAAAAAACACTCGGCAAAGTTTGGCACTTGGCAAACCAGAAAAAAAAACACTCGACAAAAGCTAGCCACTCGGCAAAGAACCGCCACGTGGACAACCGTTAGTCTGTGTGCCGTCCGTTAGTAAGTTTGCCGAGTGTCCGTTAGTGGAAACACTTGGCAAAGAAATATGTTTGTCGAGTGTAATTATTTGGCACTCGGCAAAGAAATATGTTTGCCGAGTGTATTTGTTTGGCACTCGACAAAGAAACAATTTTTTTTTCTCTTTTAACCTTCAAACTTTTTCGGCTCTCCACATACAACATGTGGTACTCCATGTTAAGATTTGGTATATTTTTGGACCTATTTGCTATATTTAATTAATTTATTGTATTTCAAGAAATTTTTTGGTATAAGTCAAATTTGAACCGCAAGTGATTCAAATAATAGAATAAAATGAGTAGAAAAATGATATTCATGTTATTAAGTCCATTGTGAGGCCTTACCTAGGAAATGAAAAGAAATTTCGAACATCTTGTTCAGGAAACACGACCACGAACGTGTGGCTGAATGATTTTTAAATTATAAAAAAAGCAAACAAAACCTAAAAATCATGATATTTGTCATGATGTGATGATATGATACGTGGAGGCTGTGGTAAAAAATTGAGAAGGTTTCGTTCAATTTGTCACGTACGATGTTTACAAACCGAAGCATCTCAGAAGAAGAATCGTCACGTTGAGAAGGATTCAGTAAGATTTAGAGTCAAAATGACGGTCGAATTGGGGTTTGGCTTCAAAACTTTTTATATAGGCAATAGAGAACATAGATTATTTCATGTGAAATTTTGGTAATTTTATGGATCCGTTTGATAATTTTAATTTATTAAGTGGAATTATAGAATTTTAATTGATATAAATTAAATTTGAGCTGTAACTGCATAAAATAATAGAATAATATTCCTAGCAAAATCAAATATATATTGGTGAGTTAATTTGACAAGCTATTTTCAAAGTACATCGGAACAAATTGAGAAAAACACATCCCGGAAAAGAAGAAAAATGAAAAAAATAGGTTTGTCGAGTGCCCATTATCCGGCACTCGGCAAATCTGGCGTTTGCCGAGTGCCAAACGTGGGACACTCAGCAAACCCCCTCACCCGGCCCCACACATGCACAATGTTTAGGGTTTGAAAATGAAAAAAAACAAAATGTGTTTGCCGAGTGCCCGTGATCTAGCACTCGACAAAGCCCACTCGACAGGCTTTGCCGAGTGCTAGATCACGGGCACTGGACAAACACATTTTTTTTATTTTCAAACACTAAACTACTGTGCGTGTGTGGGGCCAGGTGAGGGGGTTTGCTGAGTGTCCCACGTCTGGCACTCGGCAAAGCGTCTTAATTTGGTAACAAGCGCTGGCACTCACACACACCCTCACACACACATGCATTACCTCAGCTGCACCGGCCGCTCCCTCAGCCGCACCATGCCCCTACGCCGCTGGCACCTCCTATGCCCCTGCGTCGCCCCGTGTCTTGATCGCCCCCTTACGCCGCCCCGTGCGCCGCCCCGTAGCCACCCCGTGCGCTGGCCACCCCATGCGCTACCCCCCTACGCCGCTCCGTGCGCCGCCCCCTCGCTGCCCCTACACCGCGGCCGTCGGCCCCCTGCCCTAGCCCTGGCACCGGCCCCGCCGACCCCTACGCCTCGATCAGGTAAGCACCCTAGGATTCTAGAATGACTAATCATTGCAACATTATTTTGTAAGCACCCTGTTTAGCAACATTACCTTATCTAGTAACACTAACATAGCAATGTGCCAATGTTTGTACCCCATAATAGTTGATGGAAACATAAAGATGTTATTGCTCTTAAGGCACTATTTTCGCACTTTGCAGCTAATTGAATGCACTAGAATTTAATATCATTGTGTGAGCATCATTTATTTAGCACAGCTCCATCTGTTTTCACGTGAAAAAGTTACATGTTTTGGAGCATATGATGCGTCAAATGAGCATGAAGCTACATAGCAAATGCTAACATGATTTTGTCTACTGGGATTGGAAACATAATAAACTCTTGTGTACTTTCATATCTGAATCTGGATAGTACCTGCTATTGCTAGAGGTTCGATCAGATTTTATTCTTAGTTCAATTTGATGGTCTGATGAGTGTTATATTGTTGTGTATGTGGTTGTCAGCCATTGTGCCGTTGGTTTGTTGCTGGTTTTGGTTATCTCACCATGCAAGGGAGGTGCTGCCAAAATTTACAATTGACACTATTATGTTCATTTGTTGCAGGAGAGGCTATTGCAAAGATCATTCCCCACCGTCGTCGACTCGTCACTTTACAGGACAGCAAGGTGAGGCATCATACACCTCTCTTTCCTTATGATGTTCGTATATCACGTAACCTAGCTAGGCGTCTCTCATTCGAAAGAGACACGGTTGGAAATATGCAGATCTTTGCATATCTATAACCGTATCTGTTTCGAATTGTCCATGTTTTTTGGACAGCCCGAGGATGTGTAGATGGGGTTAGTTTCCATGCTCTACTCCGATCCAAGACAGAGTTTTGACAGCATCTCCCTGTTGTTCTCTAGATACACAATCTCCCTACTAGGACGTGTATTTGGAGAACAATGGGGAGGTGCTACCAAAATTCTGTCTCGGATAGGAGTAGAGCATGGAAACTAACCCCATCTACACATCCTCAGGTGGGATTAGGACCTATCTTCACCTATTAGACCGCCATGTAGGAACCTGTAGATGCAATTGATTTTTATATTACTTGCTGATATGTTAGAGGATGGATGACTGTGAGTGGATGCACATGGGCCGGTCTAGCCAGGGTTCATTCACCGATGAATGGATTTAGAAGACCGATGCTTTCTTGGAACTAGCATTTGCAAGGGTTAAAGGAGCGCGTGCCACTTGGTGTCCATGTAGCATTTGTGTAAACACACATCGACAAACAAAGGTGGTCATGGGTAAACATCTTTGCAAGAATGGATTTACGGCAGACAATACCCAGTGGATCTACCATGGTGAATCCGATCGTGTGAGAGACGAGGTCGTGAGACAACGCATCGAGGATTATGATGCCAATGCTGGGGTAGGAGACATGTTAAATGACTATCATGAAGCACACTTCGATGAAGGACATAGGGAGGAGGAGCCAGAGGCAATTACAAAGGTGTATTACTATATGTTGTCTATGGCACAGCAACCCCTTCACCGGCATACCAAGGTTTCTCAACTAGATGCCATTGCACGCCTAATGGCTGTAAAGTTCCAATTTAGCTTGAGTCGAGAAGCCTTCGATGTTATGGTGACAGTTTTTGGTAGCCTACTCCCGAATGGTCACATCCTACCAAAGAGCATGTATGAGGCATAGAAACTCCTTCGTACACTTAAGATGCCATATGAGCAGATACATGCTTGTCCAAAGGGATGCATCTTATTTAGGAAAGAACATGCAGAAGCAAAGTACTGTGTGAAGTGTAAATCCTCTAGGTTCCTGGAGGTAGACTCTGGTGATGGTCAAAAGAGGTAGCTCGCCGTCCCCGTGAAGATCCTACGGTACCTTCCATTCATACCGAGGTTCCAACGGCTTTATATGACCGAGGAATCCACGAAACAGATGACATGGCACAAATACGGACGTCGATACAATCCTGAGAAGCTGGTGCATCCATCTGATGGTGAAGCATGGA